GGGGCTACTAACATAACCCGCAGATCGCTCGGTGGGAAAGGTGGAGGCAAGATGGTGTCTTGTCAGTCAGCCAATCAAGAGTCCTCTCTCCTCTGGGCACAGGAGGCAGCAATGCCAGCTATGTCTGTCGCTAACCAGGTAAGCACAGCATGGTACTTAAGAGTGTGGACTTGGGTGCAATGGTTCAAACTGGAGGTTCAAATGGTGGCTCCATCACTTAGGAACCTTGTCACCTTAGGGCCAATAGACTTAACCTGTGTTGGTCTCCATCTCCCTTCTATAAAATGGAGGTGACTAGGGCCACCACCTCCCAGAGTTGTTGTATGGTTTACAGAAGTCACCATTGGAAATGCACATCAGACATTGCCTGACATTATCATAAAGATGCTCCAGAAGTGTTTATTACAGAAACAAACAAATAAGCAACAAATTGCCCCAAACCAAGCAGAAGGCAGAGATGCACAGAGGTCACCCGGTAACACTTTCTTGGCCAACTAATGCAACTAAAGTTGTATTGGCTGATACATACCTATTTTAAAACCTATTCTTTACAGGGCTCCTTTCAATTTCGTGTAGTGTGTGAAGACAGGGGAAGAGTGACATAATTGCAAGTTTTTCTCTGGGAGAAGGAAAGCTTTTGAAAATAGTAAAGCTCTGCTTTTTGCCTCGAGTTACAGGTACATGCTTGCACAAAGCCATTGAAATTCACCTCCAGAATCTTCCATTCAGGGTGCCAAGGAATTTGTTGATTTAAACATACCATTTCCTCCATTCTCAGAAATTATCACATAATCTGCGGTCACTACAGAATATACAACGTCTTGCACACAGTACCTGGAGTTCATCAAACTTGAATTTAAGAGGCAAAAACCGAGCTTTGTGACCATTAGCCTCTGCTTCCTATTCTTTCTTTTTCCTACTGGCTTAGCACAAAGTGGTTTAATTCTCACTTGTATCACAATATATACCAAGAGAACCGCTCTCCTTGGTGGTTCTTCTCCAGGTGGGGACTCGGGGACCCAGGTTCCCTCCATATTCAGACACTGTTGCCTTAAACCTGCGATCCCTAAGTTTTGCCACAGGAGAAGAGAGTCTCTACCTTCTTTTGCTTCCTTTAGATAAGTCATTTCACATATTTACCCCAAAGCAAAATAAGAAAGCAAGGCAAGGAACAGAATTTTGCCCCTAATAAGGCCTGTCATCCCGAAGAGTGGCAGGTATGGTATATCCTCTGACCTGGAGGCCCTGGACTCAGGTGGTCTTGGTTGAGTCACTGGTTCCCAAGGTCCCATGCGCACCTTCGCACAACAGGTCCTTCATATGCATTTACTGAATTTAGCAAATGAAAAATAATAACAATAAAACACCCTGAATTTTTCCTTTATTACATGTGTGATATTCCTTGGGATCCATTTTTACTTTGCCAATTTCCCACTCTCCCTTAAGGATGATTTCAAGGGCGGGAGGGCACCTGGGTGGCTCAGTGGGTTAAGCCTCTGCCTTCGGCTCAGGTCATGGTCTCAGGGTCCTGGAATCGAGCCCTGCATCGGGCTCTCTGCTCAGTGGGGAACATGCTTCCCCCCCCCTCTCTGCCTGCCTCTCTGCCTGCTTGTGATCTCTCTCTCTGTGTCAAATAAATAAATAAAATCTTTAAAAAAAAAAGGATCATTTTAAGGAAAAGAGCTGGGAGGATAAAAAGGAATACTGACCAACTCTAAGAAATACAGCTTATACCACTGTAAATACCATTGTAAAGGATTACTTATTTCAAAGCAACGCCTTTTTATGGCTTTATAACTGCCTGAAAAATGGTACAAAAAGAACTATTAGAACTTCATCAAGAGCAGTAAAAACAGGAGAGTGTGCTTTACGGTAAAGCGTGCCACCAATCACATCTCTGTTGTCTGTGCCCGTGTGTTTCCTTTACACACCGACTCAGGGTTTGGCCATGTGACTGAGGTTGCCAACAGGGCATCAGCAAAGATGATGCAAGCAAGGGCTTGAAAAGGTCTTGTTCACTGGGGCCTTCACTGAGGGGAGGTTGTCCTGAGTTTGGCAAACAGTAAAGACCAGGATGAAAGACCACGTGACAATACAGTTGACCCATCAGCTCAGTGTAGCTGCATTAAGTGAGCCCAAGTGAGACCAGCAGAAAAAGTCATTAACTAAAGTCTAAAACTAAAACTAAAAGTCATTAACTTAACCCATAAGAAAGAATATATAAGAACCATAAGAAATAATAAATTGTTACTCTATCGGACCACTGTGTTTTAGGGTGTTTTTCAATGAAGCAAAGGTGACCTAAAGCTATCTTTATCACAGTAAATAAACCAAATCCTACAGCTTTAAAAAAATGCAATCCAATCTAGAGTTGCAAAAATCTGATTCACATCTGAAGTGCTGGTCACTCGGAGATAGGTAATAACAAGAAGCAGAGTGTTCAGGGGCACCTGGGTGGCTGCTTCAGTCAAGAGTCTGCCTTTGGGGGGCGCCTGGGTGGCTCAGTGGGTCAAAGCCTCTGCCTTCAGCTCAGGTCATGATTTCAGGGTCCTGGGATCGAGCCCCACATCGGGTTCTCTGCTCAGTGGGGAGCCTGCTTCCTCCTCTCTCTGTGCCTGTCTCTCTGCTTACTTGTGATCTCTCTCTGTCAAATAAATAAATAAAATCTTTAAAAAAAAAAAAAAAAAGAGTCTGCCTTTGGGGGGTGCCTGGGTGGCTCAGTGGTTTAAAGCCTCTGTCTTAGGCTCAGGTCATGGTCCCAGGGTCCTGGGATCGAGCCCCGCATCGGGCTCTCTGCTCTGCAGGGAGCCTGCTTCCTCCTCCTCTCTCTCTGCCTGCCTCTCTGTCTACTTGTGATCTCTGTCTGTCAAATAAATAAATAAATAAATAAAGAGTCTGCCTTTGGCTCAGGTCATGATCCTGGAGTCCCGGGATTAAGCCCCACATCAGGCTCCCTGCTCAGTGGGGAGTCTGCTTCTCCCTCTGCATCTCCATCTGTACTCTTCCTCTCTCTCTCTCAAATAAAATATAAAATCTTAAAAAAAAAAAAAGCAGCAGAGTGCTTTGTAGGATTACTGCACATGGCAGGGATGTGGATTTCCCATCCCCCTCCCCCACAATCCCTCTGACTTTCATTGTAGGTAAATAATTATTACCTCTTAGCTCCCTCCCTCCATCCCTCAGAAAAGCAGAAAAAATGCTGGCTATCTCACAAAGTCTGCATTCTTTGGACAAAGTACAAATTTAAGTGGTTCTGGGGGAAAGGCTCAGTTTGACAAGCCACTGACCATCAAAAACCACCTATCTTGGACCTAATGTCATTGAAATAACACTTCAGTGGGAACAAAGAGCTGCTTTCTTATTTGATTATATAATGACAGTGCTCTTTCTTTTTGGCTGATAGAAGGAAAAAAGACAGTCGAAATGACGCTGGATTTACCGGCAGCAAAAATTCCAAGCACCTGATCCAATGAACAGAGCCTGAGGGCAGGGTCCAAAAGATTAAGAAGTGCTGATGATTGGGGGCTGACTGCTGCTGGAAGAGGGGGACTGAACAAAGTTCACACCGGCAATCCCAGGGCTGCTGTTCCTTTGGCTCCCGGGTCACAGAACACTCTGGTCTCCTCAGCAATGCCTAGCAACATCAGCTCAGGGAGAAGCTGACAAGTCGCTGGGAAAAAATGGTCCGTTCGAAGCTTCCTACAAGTATCATATCCACTCAGTATGGGCTAACTTCTTTGTCCTAAAGGGATGAATGTGCTTAGTACAGTTCTATCTTATTTAGGGAATAACCTCTTCCTAAAGCTCTTCATGTGAAGAGGAAAATTAGAGCTTCACCATCAAAAGCATCCCATATATTAAAGATAGGTACAAATCATCCTAAGCTTTGTTTCTAGTCTGTCATTCTTCCTAGCGAGGGAGAGTCCTTCTCTAATGAACACAGTGAAGAATGTAACAGCCTGCCCAAGCTCATCCTTTTCAGAGTCTCAGCAGAGACCACTTGCTATTTCAGTTGATCCTAAAAAGCAGTGTATTCATCATGAAAGATCTGAAGGAAGCTCACAGAACTAGAGCAGCAAACAGCATCTGTTACCACATAAAATCAGCTCAGATACAGTCAAGATATTGTTTACTTCCCAGATTCTCCTGAGACTTCTACACCAACTGGTGGGGGGATACAGTTTCCTGATTGTACGCATATCCATGGTTGATGGAAAATTCTAGGAGAGCACAGAGCAGCAGTAGAAGCATAAATGTATCTCAGTGACCCTCCATAATGCCACGGAGGTGATTTCTTGCTAAGAAAATAGTCCTTTTGTAATTTGCCAAGCCAGGAAGCCCTGAGGCTGGCCACTAATGCATTTCTTTGGCAATTACTTTGTAATGGCTTTTTTTTTTTTTTTTTTAAAGTAGGCTCCACACCCAGCATGGAACCCAGCATGGGGCTTGAACTCCCCACCCAGAGATCAAGACCTGATTTGAGATCAAGAGTGGGAAGCCCGACCCACTGAACCACCTAGGCGCCCCGGACTTTGTAGTGTCTTCCTGGCTCCCATTGCACATTTCTTGACCTGAAGCTGAAAATCACCTCAAACCAGGACATCTTGTTGTGCTGACTTCATGAGTGATGCTTTGGGGCATTCCAACCAGACTTCGATTTGCAATTTTACTCCGCAATTTTTAAAATTGTCCAGTGAGGCACACCTGCTTGGCTTCTGGACTGTCTCATTTTGTCATGCCCTCACTTATTCATTCATGAGCTGCCATTGGGAGAAAGGCTTAGGTCTTACAAGCCACTGATCATGAAAAGCCAACACTGACTTCTCTGAAAGGCTACTGAAGAAATAAAAGATATGTGTTCTGGACCCACCAAAGCTTACTATCCAAGAGGCCAGTCAACATGTCTCTGAAGTGAAAAAAAGGACAATTTTTAAGAAAGCAATAATGACAATAACAGGCGGGGGCTTCTTCCTTCACCCTAACCATCTTCTTTGCCTTACCTTGCTCTGATGGGTTGAGATCCTAGTCTGGGTCCCAAAGCACTACCATTTCCAGGAGAATTCTTTCTGGCTAACGCTGGGGATATAGAAGTTGTTCTTTGAGGCACCTAAAAGAAAAACCAGAATTCAGAAATATTTTCCATACAATAGCTCCCATAGGCTCCAGCAGCCTAACCCTTTTCTAAAATTTACCAGGAGTTACAGAAACTATCAGAAATGGGAAAGACATGGTGTTTATGTTTCAAAGAAATCTTTAACTCCCTAAACAAAATCACACAAAAGGCACAGAGGCACCTTCAGCAATTTAGGAGAATGGTTTTCAGTTTTAAAAACAAATTAAAAAGCAGACCAAGCTAATTATTTTTATCACCAGGCTAAAACACTTGACCTCCTTTGCTTGTGTAAGAGTGGCAGATACCAGAAATTTCTCCGGGGTACCATTAACTCAGTTGATCATTAGAAATTGCATCAGATGAGAGTTATCCAGAGAAGCGGAACTCCACCCCAACTGATAAACAGATAAGGAGATGATGAAATCTGGTGAAAGAGGGGTATCAGGCTAGAACTTGGGACATAAGCCACAGGCTCAGGAGCTCAGAGAAACTCTTTCAATGGATCCTAAGTGTTACTACTTCCTAATCAACTTGCAGTCATTAATTAAAAACAACCCCCCTCGCAAATACTGTGCCTTGGAAAGTCAATTTGCAAATGGACTACAAAACAGAATTAATATTGAAAACACCAGCAGGGTCTTCAAAAAGACTGTGTGCACACTATTAGGCACACAGTGGGAAAAGAGATCATTATTAGCTTATCTGACAAGGGCCTAAGATGGGAATTCAAGTCTGCTTCACTTTATTAAACATTTTTAGTGAAATCAAATATTTAAAGCGTACTAAAGGGGTCCAACATAAGGGAAAAGAATAATACTTTATAAAAGTGGCCAGAAGGGGCACCTGGGTGGCTCAGTGGGTTAAAGCCTCTGCCTTCGGTTCAGGTCATGATCTCGGGGTCCTGGGATGGAGCCCTGCATCGGGCTCTCTGCTTGGCGGGGAGCCTGCTTTCCCCTCTCTCTGCCTGCCTCTCTGCCTGCTTGTGATCTCTCCCTCTCTGTCAAATAAATACAAATAAAATCTTAAAAAAAAAAAAAGTGACCAGGAGATGGAAATGTAGCTAACTCGTCATAACTGGTTGGATTAAACATTTGTTGGGTGGTTCAATCTTCATTTATCTCTTGGGGCCCTTTTTTTTTTTTTTTTAAAGATTTTATTTATTTATTTGACAGAGATCATGAGTAGGCAGAGGAAATTTAAATAGTTGTAAATTAAATTAAATAGTTGTATTAATTAATAAAAATTAAAAATTAGTTATTTTTAATAATTTTAAAAAATAATAATTTAATTTAAATTTATTTTTATTTATTATAAATTTATTATTTAATACTTTAATATTTTAAAATAGAAATTTATTATTTAATAATTTATTTAATTTAAAATAATAATTTTATTTCTATTTTAATTAGAAATTAAATAGTTGTAAATTTAAATAGTTGTCGAGAAGAAAGAGTCTAACAAATTCATAAAACCTAAAATCTTTATATGAATGTCAAATTTTCTCCCAGAGTTAGAAATGTATGCCTGCATGTTTTCAGAGAGCAGACCAATAACGTCCCTTTTCCGTTTTCCCAGTTCTTGGGCCACTCCCCTGCCCGACCTATCTTTGACATTAAAAGTCATGGAAATGCTGCTCTAATATCTTTTTGAGTGGAAGATGAGGAAGAATATTTGACAATCATTGGGTAAAAAGTTCTTTTTGCCTGGTGTCAACAATGGCATTGACCTCCGGAAATTGTGGGACATTCCATTTGGCAAAGCTCCTATGCTAAGTTCAGGAGAAAGGAAGAACCAAGAAGAACGTAATACAAAAATTTCTCTAGTATTTTGAAATGCTTCCAGGATGTCTGCAGTGAGATGCGTAGCCACATTTCATGACAACTTTTGGAATGAGTAACAATGGGTATAGGTAAAAACAAAACAAAAGAAACGAATCCAGGATTATTCTGTCCAGTAGATGGCTAGTCATTTCACCCTATGGTTTTATGCTCAGGAGTTAAATTATGACCTGGGCTAAAGGAGCTTTCCTTAAACAGAGCCAATGTTAAGAGCAGTACTATCTTCTTAACACCTGCAATCCTATTTGTGTTATTAAAAGTAGAAATAAATCAATTTTCTACTTTTTATCTGGAAGTTTTCAATTCGTCTAGATGTAGTTTCAGTCACTGATGAAAATACCCATTATTCCACTTCTCTCTCTCTCTCTCTCTTTTTAAAAAGATTTTATTTATTCATTTGAGAGAGAGACAGAGCACAAGTGGGGGAAGAGGCAGAGTGAGAGGGAGAAGCAGACTCCCTGCTGAGCTGGGAGCCCAACACGGGCTTGGACATGGAGACTGAGACCTGAACCGAAGGCAGACATTTAACCATCTGAGCCACCCAGGTGCTCCCCCACTTTCCTTCCTTTCTTTCCTTCCTTCCTTCCTTTCTTTTGTGTGTGTGTGTGTGTGTGTGTGTGTGTGTGTGTGTGTTTTTGTTTGTTTGTTTAAGTAATGTATACGCCCAATATGGGGCTTGAACTCATGACCTGGAGGTCGAGAGTCACATCTTCTATTGACTGAACCAGCCAGGCACCCCCATTATTCTGGTTTCTTAATGCGGACAGTAAAATAGTTTAGAATGCTTGAAGTTGAGAGTTCTAATTCTGGATATAGGATAGATGTTTCCAAGTCACTGAATTACCTGAGCCTCTATTTCTTGGGAAAACGAAGGTCAGAAGTGATAAATGACAATCCAAGTCTTAGCTTAGGAACAAGAAGGAGAACATGAGAAAGGGTGCTGCTCTGGCATTCTCAGGTTCCTCATTACTATAGAAGGTCTGGAATAGAGATGCTAATACTAATAATGAACAATGATGATGATGATAGTTATGATGAAAGCATCCTAGCCTATTACCTTTGGTGGAATGTCTTCTTCCTGTCGTAACCAAGAGCTTCGGTCAAACTTCTCGATGCGAGTGGGGAGAGGAGGGTTTTCGGAGGTGGGATCCGAGTTCTGGCGTGGCATCTCAACGCGGTGAGAGGTCACGTTCAGAGCCTCCTGAAACCCAGAGAGGCCCTTGGTAGGCTGCTCGTGCACTGACTGGGAGGCGGTCAAGGCAGGTCCCTGGGATTTTACTGCTACCAGATGTGGAATCTAAACATCAAACCAACAGCAGAGCAACCGTATTAGAAGAAAAAGCAGAGCAGCTACTATGTCATTCAGTGGAAAGGAAAATACCATTGTAGAGCATGAGATGAGAACTGGAGGACACAGAGCCCATCACAGCTGTCTCCAGCAAGCTTTCAGAAGCTCCTCTGAAATTCCCATTTATGGCCATATTTAGGGCTGACCCAGGGCGCCTGGCCAAAATTAACTGAGTCACTTGGGACTCCTCTAAGAAGTAGGTGAAATAGGTGTGATGCTAATAACAGCCAGTTTCAGTGGACATTTATTGGCCAGTAGTATAATAGATTTACAAGCACTTTTCTTCTAATATTATAAAATTCCTCCCTCAAAACCTTTAACTTTGACTTCAGAAAGCGCTATCACTCTGTAAAACAAAAACTGCTCTGGGTATCTTACTCCTCATGAACTCACTACATCCACCATGAGGTGGATACAATAATTTTCAACCTTTTTCATGTGAGACTGGAAGGTCTAGAGAGGTTAAGGAGCAGCCTGGACCTCACGGTTCATACATGCCAGGGCCTGGACTGGAACCCTCATGCGTCTCCTGGTCCCTACCCCTAACTCTAGGCTCTTCTGCCTTCTAGTGAGCTGGTTCTCACCACCCATGATCTTATATATCTCTCCACACCAGGATGTTTCTTTTAGAGGTGTGAGCTCCCTAACTGGGCGTGCGTTGGTATTGTTCATGCAGGGAAGACACGCTGTCTTTGGGTAGAAATGCGGCTCTTTAAGACAGATCACGAAAATCCAAAGTTCAGAGTGTTCTTGACCGTTAGCACTTCTTCTCACTTCATTGTTACAATCTCGAAGATAAAACCCCTGGAGATGGGAGCCAAGTCTGGTATGGGATCTCTTGGTTTACACTGTGCCTGGCACGGGGAATGTGCTCAATGGATCTCGGCTGGGGAAACATCTAGAATACTTTCTAAATTAAACGCTTAAGTAAAACACTAATCTACTATCTGCTTTGTGCAAGGGACCTATCAGACCCTCTTTGTTCTGAAATCTCAAATGTGAGACCACTGGGGAGAATTTCCACGGCCCTCTTCTGCCAGCCTGGCCCTGCTCCTTTTGCCCTTGAAGTCTTATCCCTGGAGCAGCCCTGCCCTTGCCTCTTCAGACCCTTTTTGGTCTGAAATCTGAAATGTTATTAATTACAGCTCAGAGAAAAATCCTCAAGGTCTAGTTCAGGTGAATGTTATGCTTCCACCAGGAAAGAACTGTAACCAATCACGTTTTTGTTAATGTTAATTACCACGAATGTAATAATAATATTAAAATAGAGCATATTTTAAAAACACATCACAAAACACACCCCTATTTAAAAGAGTTTTCAAAGACATTTGGGTGAAACCAGCTGCATCTGCATCATTACCTTTATTTTTCATAAAATTCCCTACTTTATTTCACTTCATATTTCATTCTTAGTGTTTACAATTTCATAAGTCCTCTAAAACCTCCTGAAATGTGTCCAGGAGTGGAGTAACTTTTTTCTTTTTTAAATAGCTTACACCAGTGGCTCTCGAGTCCTAGAGTGCTTCAGGAGCATCCAGACGGCTTGCTAACATGCAGACCGCTAGACCCCCACGGACGTGCTGATCAGCAGGTCTGAGGCGACCGGGGAACCTGCCTTTCTACCAAGTTCCTGGGTGACGCTGATGCTAATGGTCCGTGACCACCCTCTGGAAACCACTGGCTTAGAAGACGCAATTTTATCCCAGGTCATTTTGTTTTTCTGGTTAAAGACCATGCCCAAATCCCAATGAACAGAACATAATGTAATAGTTTATATATGACAGATATCTATACAAATGCTAGCCTGATGATTGTAACTGAACGGATGCTTGTTCCAACCTGGCAGACACCCCCATGGGTCTCCAGAGAGGCCGGTTTACCAAGAGGTGACCCTGCCGTTGGCTCAAAGTTAAGGAGGTTGTCTTTTCTTTCTCCACCCTTCCCCCATCCTTCAAATCCAGTGAGGTCTCCTCTATTACTATAGGTTCTGCATTAAGGGCCGTTGTTGGACTGGTCCTATGTATGAATCCAAGTTATAATCCCCTGTTCTTTTAGTAAGCTTAACTGTACACCCAGCTGAGATGGCCGATGGAAGAAACCAGGAAGGTACCTGGGGATCGACGGGTCTGAGCATGGGGGGTGTCCGAGCAGGCTGAACCCCACTGATACTGAAGGACTCCGACCTCGGGGGCAGGTTGGGGTCAGAGATTCTGTTGGCAACCTTGTGAGGCATGGCCGGAGAACTCTGCCGGTTGAGCCTTGACCGCTCTTCCACCTAGAAGCAAAAAAAAAAAAAAAAAAAAAAGAAAGGTGCTTCAGTGGGTAGATGGATGGAAGCTGTTTTGCTGCCTTGTAAGGATTCTCTGTAGTCACCTGCACAGCCATTTTTGGGTCCCTCTGATCAATTCATCTTCAGGGACCCAAACTCTCCATACCTGCTCTGCAGTCTTGAAAAAGCTCCTTTCTGTCAGAGTAAGCACTAGCTCAAAACACACAGACCTCGTAAGCTGTCACCCTTTGCTCCCTGGTATCCTGTGCTATTTCAGTTAGCGGGGAGTTTGGGACCTGCTTAAGAGTTTACCTTGCACTGACTGGATATTCTCTTGCTGACAGGTCACAAAGCCATGAAGTCAGTGAGGGACACGGAGGGAACTGGGGTGGGCATTGAGACTGCTCGGGAAAGCAGAAAACTCCTCACAAGCTGACTCAGGCGACACGGGAGGGAAGGCCACTCACCCTGCGTTTCCTCACAGGCCCTACTGATAGGCCAGCGGGTGTTTCAGGTGCTCTCTTAATGAGCGGACCTATCTTCAGACGGCCTGTATTGTTTCTTTTCCCCTCGTTAGGACCTTGTCTTTTCACTTGTCTCCCTGCTCCCTAAAATACGCCTTTCCATTTCCAGCCTGGACTCTGCTGCCTCACTCTGTCCCCTTCTCCCTCTTTGTCCCTGTGTGACATTCGTTCTCGCTTCTACCCCTCCCTTCTCCCCACCTCCAGCCCTCTCTCTTCTGGGGCCACTTTATTTCCCTTGTCATCCCCTTTCCTGCTGAGTTTCTCAGCCCAAAGCAGGTAACTGATCAGAAGGGTTCCGCAGGAAAGGCTCACGGTCCCAGGAATGCCCTTTTTTGTGGGGAAGATTCCCCTCAGTTCATGTCTGCAGCAGACAGACCATCACAGAGGCTATTTCCAAACGGAAATTCAGATAAACAAGATGTACACCGCAAGGCATGATTTAAGACCTCTGACAACTTTAAGAGGTCTAGCCCTTTTCTTTCAGATGCATCTCAGCCTGTCCTTTATTTCTTTCGGGTCAATTTGGCAGCTGTATTTTCCAAACCTGCCGGGCAGCCCACCCACCCTGACGACTCTTCAGTGTGAGCCTGAACTCCCTTTGCTGTCTCACTGAGGAGGGTTCCAAGGGCCCATCCCAGAACCCACACACAGACCCAGACATATCTGTATGGAGCTCTTTATTCATTTCACGGCCTGAGTTGAAAGAAAAATTCAAAAGAGCTATTCTTTCCCATCCTTCCTATTCCATTTTGGATCTTTCTAGAGGCAGACTGAGTCTCATATACAGAATAAGTCTGTTTTGAAGCCCTCATATGAACTGCAAACATTTTTACATAATAAGGTATGCTGCAGAATAGAAAACTGTCCCACAGGGACAACTCAACATCTCCTCTCCCACCATGGCTGTGCAGGGTACCTACAATTGACATCCAGTTGACTTTGGTTTTGAAACTCCATGTCCCGGAAGCTTACCACACACCAAAGAGTGTTAGCTACCATGAGCCAGACCTATAAACCAGAACATGTATACTTTGTGTGTGCGGTGGGCAAAGTATTACATCAGCGGTAATTATTTGGCTGCTGCACTGAGCAAAGGAAATGAATAAAGCCAGTTCTGAGCTGAGACCAGAAAGAGAAAGTCCCACAAAGACAGTGGCAGATCAACTGAAAGCAAGCCATGCAATGTATTGCTTTTCTAAATACTAAGTACTAAATACTAGAAAAGAAAGTGACTGTTTCCAGACCACAGGAATTGGTCAAACATTAGCCATTTTCTTATTTCCATGGAAGATCGTTAATAGATAAATGCCATGTACGAGCACCTCTCACCATCCAAACTCCGAGAGTCCAAGCCATTTGCTGTCTGAGCTAAGGAACCCAAGAGATTCAGACACATTTTCAGATAAATATCTGGTTTTCCAAACTATAGGTACCTGTTACCCAACAGTCAGGAACCAAATGTATTCAGAGTGGAGACTACTTGCCATTATTATTTTTTTAAGCTGTAAAATACACTCAGTTTTAAACACACGGAGACAGCACATTAAGAACAGCACTAGAAAAAGTCTGCCTTGAGGGGATGGAGTCAAAAAAGACTCCATCTTGAGCAAAGAAATCATAAAGAGTTCTTTTGGCAACAGCCAGCAACAAGGTTCCAGTAAACGAGGTATTCTTACCACAGGCCACATGGGGTCAACGGCTGTTGTGGGAAATGAACAGGGCAGAAAAGTGAGGGGCTGACTTTCATAGGCAGCTAATGGGTTTGATTAGTCGTAAATAACTATTACTAATCTCTCTCTAGTAAAGTTCCCTATGCCTTCTATCAGGTGGTTTGCATACGAAAACCTACCATTCGTATGTGTCAGGCTGTACCATCCTAAAACACATGGTATAGATCATCTACGGTTATACTGCGCAAATTATTTCAGGATGATTCAGTCTGGTGAAATTTCCTGGGTTGGAGCTTGTCCAGAGAAGTCTGAAAATCTATGAGAAAGGTGTAATAATGAGCCATTTGGCTACATACTTTGTCTCAAGAGAACCTTGTCCTAAGGTTTTCAGGAAGAAAATGCTGCCCATTGTTTTTGCACCAAAGGAACAGCATGAGGACTGGAGCAAAGATATCAAATCAAACACCCTACTATCAGACAAAGAAAGGAGAAACTAGGTGGGGTATCTAGGCTCAGGCCCCTTCTGATTAATTTGGTAGTGGGCAAAGGTCTGTCTCCTGATTCACCATATCTTATTCTAATAATTGAAAAGGAGATGGATATGTGAGTTAGACCAAGAAAAAAAAAAAAAAAGTGTGTTTTGTTTTGTTTTTTCACCCAGAATAAGGATATATGTGATTCAACACTGCAGTACAATGAAGATATGTTTTGATTTGCCTCACGTGATACTAAAAATAAATCTATGAACTGAGCCTCTATTCCAACCTCCTGCTCCAAGGAGATGTCAAATGTCAGAGTATCACCAAAAAAGAATGTTCTAGTAGCAAGAGACACAGAGTCTCAAGGTGCTGGACCATGACAACAAAAGATACCGGTTATGAAGGATTGCAAACTTGAAGGGATTATCAGTGAATACAGAGAACAAGAATAGGAGAGACTGATCAGTTTTAGTACAAAACCATTTTTTTTCTCATTAAAAGGATGGTTTTAACATCAAAACTAAAATTTGGAGAGATTTAGATCACCTCAGCAGAAATGCTTTCCTATGTGTTGCTGCATTACAGGAGAAAAAAGAAACATAATTGTGGTCTCAGAAATAAAATTCTGCTCCAGGCATGGCTGTGTTGTCCACGGGGTTCTACAGAAGTGATGTCTAAGGCCTCTGAGACACACACATAAAGGGTATCTAAACAAGAAGACCTGAAAATAAATTTGTTGATTACAGGACTTCAAAAAATTTCTCAAAATAAATACAAATATGGTTAAACATGTATAAAAGGAAACACAGCAATGTCAATTGTTAAATTAGTTTGTATGTTGACAACAATTCATTGCTTACAATGTCTCACTTAGCAATAATGAATGAAAGCTGCTGAGAGAAAAATCTCAGAACAAAATTATAGCAGTAATTTTTTAGATGTTGACAGCAAAAATATATTTACGACGTCAAAAGGGTGCATTTTTATAATATTTTATATGATGCAGCGTATGAGGGGTCCATGAAAGCCTAGAAGGCCTTACTTAAAAGTTTATTTATACATGGTGAATTAAACACAATCATATGGGAATTCCTTTTCTTCCAACTGAACTGATGTTTTTGTTTTTACTGGCAATGCTGGAGAAAGAGAAAGAAGTCAACAAATAATGTTTAGGTACTCACTAGACCTTTAGGACCCTGCAGTCACTCTGGTCACATAAAGAGCTGTGTCATATTGTTCTTTGGCAAAACCGCAGGAGCAGGAGCGGATGCGGGCCGACCAAGACTGGGCACATGCCTTCTCTGAGGCCCCTCTGAGAACAGGGGACACTCTCATTCACGTGAAATGCTTAAAATGGAGTTTCATCTGAAGTCAAAAGCCTGGACCACTTGTCCAGAGAAGAGCAGAGAGGTCTTCCTGGGGATAGAGCACGTAACTTAAAAATAATAAGGCAAAGCTTTCGCGTTGAGATGGGAAATAAAGACGTGTATTTGTATCACCGGGTGGATGGGGGTCGGGGAGATGGGGCTCCATGCGGACTGCCCTTGTGAAATCCAAACCAGAAACAACAGAGGCCAAACGCTTACTCCTTGTGGGGGACAGTGGCCTTGGAAACAAAACAGGACTGTGTTGAAGACTAGATTTCATGTGTTTCTGCACAGCGCTTATCATTTCAATGGCACATTCACAGACAGGAGCGCCCAAAGGCATTCCTGAAAGGGAATGCAAGCTGAGCCTCAGGAAAGCTCCAAGACTCCTCCCAGGTCACCTAGTCGGGAGGTGGAAGAACTTAAACTCCTTACTCCTTTCCAGGTCTCTCTTAGGGCAGCTTGTAAGAGAGCGAAGCAGAAACTGAGCAAAGAAGGGAGCAGAGCCGTACACTCTCTAAGTGGTAATTTGGGACCTCATCTGTAAGATGACTCCTATAAAAAGGGGGAAAAAAACACATCAGTGTAGAGTAGGGGAAACTAAGTGAAGGAGTTCTTCCATACAGAGATTTCAGAGTCCAGTGGGCTGACGAGATATAAAGAGACATCTTGGCCCATCGTTTGCCACATAAAACCATGACCAGATGACTGGAGAGTATCAGGGAGTAAGAACATGATGGAGTATTGGAAAAAACTAAAATACAATCTCATACAGTATTCATGGAGAGGGAACATTCTGTCACGGCTGTGTGTAGAAGAAAATTTGAAAAAAATATAGGGAGGGGGCGCATACCCAATCACTGCCAGGCCCAATCACATGCCATTTGAAGGAAAGGAATCTGCCCCATTATAAGCAAAAGGTATTGTAAGAAAAGGAATGACCATCTTTCAAAAAGTGGCGGAAAAAAAGACCTTCGATTTTTGCTGATGTTCAACAGAATATCATACTGATGTTTTTACAGAAACAAATCGGACTTCCATCCCAATACAGGAATGGTCGAGAACTTGCAAGGGGTGAAAATGCCTCCACCCTTCCTTTTAATAGAGACAGGAAAGCTTCTCTCTGGCCGGAATCTGAATATCCCAGTCAATGTGACCATAGGGACAGACAGAATACTCTGTAAATGGAGAGAGGGAGGAGCTCAGCAAGATTTGCAAATGACTGAGTATTTTCATTTCTTCTTATTACATCCAACAAATTAATGAGAAAGTGTGTGCGAAATGGGATGATGACTTATGTTTTACACAATGAAGCAACAAAATCACCAAGGGGTGGGGCATGATAACATTATCCTAGTTAATGAAAAACTGTCAATTTGAAAAAAAGGAAGAGAAATAAGGGGATGAAAAAATAACCGAGGAGGGACAAACCATCCTGGGGAGGAGGTAGAGAGCTGAGTTAGAAGACAAATATGGCGCAAGTCAGAGGCTGCCAGGGGAGTAGACGGCTGCGGGGGTGTCTCAAGGGCACCGGGGGCAAGAAAAGTCTGGACCCTGTATCACAGGCTCCTGTGGCATGCCCACGGCTGCCCATTCCTCCCTGGCAAGGATAATTTCCATTTCATACCCCGGTAGAGGACACATTTGAAAAAGAAAGGGTACCTTTTATTCTAACTCCTGAAGAGAGCTTGACTCAGGTTCTTATTCTTGGTTGATGATTTAGAGATGGCTGGGCTCAAAATTCTGTCTGTCTCTAAAGATCTGAAATGAATTTTGCTGTCTAGCTACTTTCAGCTCCATCTACCTCCCTACTGTAGGGAAAGAAACCTTTAAATAGAGCTCGGGAAGTGCATACATTGCTATGACAAGCATTAAAAGGTCAAGAAGGTAAGGATCCTCACACCCAGTTTTATTCCCATTTTAAGAAGTGGGTGTTAAGAAAATGATCAATCAAACCAAAGCAGACAATTATTTGTTCTTATTTATACATGAGTCACTCCGATCCCAAATTTAGCACTGTCACTCATTCTGCGATCTAAATGTTTCATCTCTCTTCTAAAATATGAACACCCACTCTTTTAAGACTTGGGAACTGCTTCATGAATAGATTGGTTAGTTGGAAGCTGGATTACGTTAACCACGCCCAGGAGGATAGGACTAAATATGAATCCCCAAAGAATGTTCCCCCATATGTCCAGAACTGCACGAAGCCCAAAGAAGACTGCCAGCTGCTAGGAAGCCAGGGACCTTGGAAGATGTAACCCACCAGAGGTGGCCCAGCTTTATGATGGCCAGGGAGCCTCACATCGGGAGTGCTTGCTGACACAGCTGGGTTGTTTGCACGTCCAACTGCTGTGTTTCTTTCACTGCTAGGAGCCTGGCCAGGGAGCATAGGGGAATTAGAAGGTCTAGAAAACCATCTTGCTGGCATCTGCAAAGACTGGCCCCCAGGAATGCCATGGCTTCTGAGAGCTTGGGAACCGTGAACTAGTTCTGAACAGAGAGGATAGGCCAGGAAACTTAGTGAGGAGGACAAAGAGTAACTCGGTAACAGTGGAGTCAGAGTGATCAAGTTCACATGAGAAGGTGCTGGGTAGAGGTGGAAGGAAGGACGTGGGAACTGCTCCAGGCTTCTCCCCGTTTTCTGGTACATTTGCATGTGAGGGAGCTGCACAGGGGAAAGGAGGAATTCTGGGACGCTCTGCAGAGAATCATGGTCTTCTCCAGTGAGCTCTGTAGGTGTCCCTCTCCTAAACCCATGCTTGGGGCTGGAAACACGGAGGGCCATGGGGTCATGCATCAAGAAGAGGTCATTCAGCGATACAGCAGTTCTCAGAGGCGTCGGGGTACCCGGAAGGATGCATGCATTCGTGCCCCTCCGGCCACGAGGTTCACAGGGGTCTCTAAGGCCCTCCTTACGTGCAGTGATGGACAACTTGGGGCTTGTCACTTTGAAGATGTTGGAAGAGGACACACAAATGACCTCAGATCCTAACTCCTGAGATGGACTACATCCTTGGGAGCAAGATCGCCTAGGGGATCTCACTGCGGTCCTCGAGGCTTCCTGAGCCTTCAGCTGTTCTTCAAGACCAACTCTACTAGGACAAGCGGGTCCACCTTTCTTCCGTGAGCGAGGCTCCAGCAGGAGTCTTGATCTGGAATCATTAATTTCTGCAGGTGCTCCTGGCATTGGCTTAGTAGAGCCTAGTTTTCCAGCCTTCTGAACACCTGCCGTGAGCAGGAGCTGTGAATGTGGCTTAGCTGAGGGTTTCAACTTGGCAGGGCTAGAAAATGGTTTAGCAGTGGTGGACGGTGGCACGCCTCTGCCAGCCAGGACACACCTCAGCTGCTGTCTAACAGCAGAGGGATTCTGCTTAGCTGGAAGAACAGGTGGGTTATTAAGGGGTCGGTGCCGTACCTGGGAGTAGGATCACAAAAATGAATTATTGATCTAAGAGAAAGAGGCAGCTGTTACAGACATAGGTAAATACAAATCATCTTTATAGACTCTAAAGGAAAGTGATCAAAAACATTCTTTACGTGACATCAAAGGATTTTCTCTACAGGTTCATTTTTCAAGTTGTAAAAGAAAAAGGTTTGATTTTTGCAAAAATAGCACATGATCATTAGAAAAGATTTAAACGATATGTAAGAATACAGAAAAGCTTAAAGAACACACCCTGTGGTTCCACTGCCCTTTCAGCAATCATCATTAACCTTAGCGCAACATGGCTTCAAGCATTTTCTATATGTACGTAAAAGAATAAAAAAATTCAAAAAGACAGAAACATTTTTGTAAAAATAGGATCTTATGTAAGAAATCTAGTTCTGGTAAGACTGTAGTCTAGATAACTTGAAATAAGTTCTGGCTATAAATACCTGAAGATACTAGAACAAATTACAAAATAACACAAACATCCTCTTAAATGACTAGCTATGCTCACAAGAAAATAAAGGAGATCACTGGGTGCCACAAACCATGACAAACAGAAAATCAGGCTGTTATGCACATGAGCTGACACAGTGACTCCTAGGAGGGTGATTAATCTTGGCTGATTTGGTTTCTTTGCTTTGCCCACCTTTTTTCCTATCACCCAGATAGTTTTTAATTTGATATTTAAAACATCTCACCACAGAGCCAAGTTCTTGAAAACGTGTCCTCACTCTAGTAGCTGATTTGCAAAAGAAAACAAACAAAAAAACCCCCCACAAATGACCTCTGATCCCGGAAGTGGTTACCACAACCACTGGTCTGAGACCAACTGTGCGTCCCTTCACACCACAACAGAATAAGCGAGTGTCAGCGACAGTGCTAATGATCACTTTCGGGGTCTAGGTACGGACAGGAAAGGACTCTACCTCAAAATCCCTAAGTCTTTATTAAATCACATTCTTTCAAGGGGAAGTCACTAAAAATCCTCAAGCCACAAACTCATTTGGATACCTATGAGAAAAATGATTTTTCTACTTCCTGTTATTACTTACAAAAATCCCTTATAACCACTTAAAAAAAAAAAATCAATCCCTGAGAAACAAAAACCACTAATGGATTAAGGTGCCTTGTCAATTCTCTACAGAAATAACATTATGGCTCTTCCAAAAACAAAGCAGGCACTTCTTAAGATGAATTGTTTTCCAGTTGTGAAGCACTAGTTTAATTCTCTGCTTCTACTGGGTGAAGTCACTAGAGCCACCAGGCCGGCCAACAGGACGTGGCTACACTTGCTAGTGCACTTACCTCCTTGGCCCATGCTGGTTTCTCACTAGGACTCATCCCTTCTTTGTAATGGTACAGTGGCTTCTTCTCCACCGGCCTCTGCTCCTGCCGCTGATGCTGGAGAGACACCAAGTAGTCTCTCTCTTGCTTTAGCTGTCTCTGCAATCTTTCTGCTTGTCTCTGTTCTTCCAATTGTTTGCGCTTATATTCCTATCCGGACCAGAAAAGAGAAGCAAAGGAAAAGCCAGATCACCATATAGAAACCACTGGCTGGCACCGGAGAAACATGCAATGTTGCCAAAAGAGATGATAACGAGAAAAGCCAACAGAACCACCAAAGGATGTCAGGACTTGCCACAGAGACAGGCTATGGCCGGGGCTAGCATTTTCTGAAAACATTATTGCTTTAATGGCAATCCCTACAGAACACTACCCCTTACCAACTGACCTGTCCCTGACTGGGGGCCAAGAAAGTAGCAATAATGAGGACTTTTGGATGGTCAGCGCCCAAGCCCTATAAGGAGCCATCCACTTCCTGGTTTAGTAATTAAACTATTCAAACATGTCCAATTAAGTACAAAACTAAATAAGGAGCTACAGATACTGCTCAAATCATCTTGTGTTTCACAAAACTTGGACCAACAAAGGTCATTAGCAACTGTATGCACAGGCTAAAAAAATAACACAGTGCCACTGAATAAGAAGTTCAGTTAAAAAAAATGTATCAAGCAGCTCATTTGGAGAGCAGGGCGATAATAATAAAAAAGTACTTGAAGAGGAAGCCGCGTGAGCAGGGAACACAAAATGTTCCCATTGTAAGGGTAAAGCTAATAGTCTGCAAATGAAATATGACTGCAGAGCTGAGTGGGTTCTTACAGAAGAGGTGTATTTCGCTGTGATTGTATTCCAGCATGTTGCAGATGACCTTAAAAATTACTCTGCAATAAACACAGTGGGTCTCAAAAACAGCCTGAACTTGTACTAAGCCTGGATTCCTGCTAAAGTTTCACAAAGATACTGAGTTACTAAAGAATGCATGACAAGGGTCTCCAAGGTATTCAGATGGCCAACTAGGTCAGGAAGTGCATTGGGTTTCCACGAGACTTTTGAGGTCCACGAGGCTTGGAGGATCCCCCCCTTGTGGGCTGGCATGTGAGGGGGACACACGTGGGGACACACACACACACACACACACACAGGATGAACACAGAGCAGGTGGCTGGCCCTCTGCTTTCCCATTACCAGAAGTAGAGCTTGTTCATGCAGTAGCTGCTGCTGCAAGATCTCTAACTGTCTCTGCTCCTCCTCTAACTGTCGCCTGATGTACTCCTGGAGAGGCAGGCAGCAGAGCATTCAGAGGAACACAAAGAGAGAAAGAGAGAGAAAAAGAACTGGTAATTTCTTTGAGGTGACAAGTGCTGCCATGTAAAGTGAGGAAGGAAGGAGGGAAAACAACAACAACAAAATGCCCAGACACCCCCTCACCAAACAGGAAAAGCACCGAAGCAAAAGCATTTCAATGCAGTCAAAAGCACAAGTCCTCCACCTGCGACAGCCGCCGGAGGGGTCTCGGGGCTTTGTTGTGACTGTATGGTTTTCGTAAACCCAGCTACGTTTTAAAGCTCTTCATTGCAGGTTCCCTCTTTATGGGCCACCCGGAAGTCACAATGCCATCAAGGTCAGAGGCTCCTGTGCAAGCAGCAGGAATAGAGTAACTGTGGAAGGCCGGCATGCGCGGTCTTTGTAAGGGCCCCGCCCTCCGCCCTGCAGAGCGCCGCCGCGCGGTCAGAATGCGGTTCCACCGAAGACGGAGGGCCCTGCCTCCGCGGCGCGGACCGGACACCGGAGACCGAGGAGCAGAAAAGCCCTTCGGAAGCAATGAAAGAGGACCATGTGGCTCATTTACCATGCTTCAGTGCTACCTTCAAAGTAGATACCCAGGGTCGGGAGAACCCAAAGATCAAGGTGTGCAGGGGACTTTGGCCTGGGCAGGAAGCGAGGCTCAACGAGTGGGCATTGCCAAGGGCTGTGCGTTTGACTTCTTGAATAGGTGAGAAGAGCAGCTTGAGAAAGAGTAAAAACCCATTTTAACTGAATAGTCCTAAGAGACGGTGACCCACACCCCAGGGACGGTCAGCTGGCGCTGGAGCTCCCGCTGGTGCCAACTGTGGGCTCCGGGCCCTGCTGTACCTGCTCGTGCTCCGCGCGCCTCCTCTCCTCCTCCCGGCGCATCTGCTCCTCGTAGTGCCGGCGCTGCTCTCTCTCCTGCTGCTTCCGCAGCTCCTTCTCCCGCCGTTGTTGCTGTGGGGCCACAAGCAGACAACCATGAAGGAAGCGGGGCTGGTGCGGGGCTGTGGGGAAAGCCTCAGGGAGGGCTGCTGAACCGCAGACCTGCGCCCTTCTCCATAGCTGCCTATACGCCCGAGGGCTCTTTCTGTCTTGTGCTCTTGGGGGACTTGCTGGCTAGGATGGGTGGGGGGCGCAAGGAGCAATTTAGGCATGCAAATACCCTGTCCTTTCCCGTGCAAGTTGACTCCCCAGGTTTGCCTCCTCCCAAGAAGTCCCTGTTGCTAGGTGCATTCTCCCTATTGGCTGACCCTGGTGCATCATCAGACTGTTTACGAAGAGTCTATGGGTTTTAAAACGTTTCTAGTGCTCATGCCAGTCAGAAGAGAAAACGTTTCCAGTGCTCATGCCAGTGCTCATGCCAGTCAGAAGAGAAAGCAAAATCCACAGAAATGAAGTGACACCTTCAAGGTCCTACAGTAACTAATGGCTGAGAGTATAATAGAATTCATTGACCCTAACCCTGTCCATTACCCTATCCCATACATCATGCTGCCTTTATCTTCCAGATTATACACTTGCAAGTATCAATTTCGACTTCTCATTCAAGTAAGACCCTTAAACTCATTGTCATGATCTCTTACCAGCCCGCCGTGAGTACCAGCCCGCTGACAGTGACAGTGTGGTAAGTACCTTTCATGCTTTATCTTATTTAATCCTCACAAAAATCTGCTGACGTAGATATTATTATCATCCCCATTTTATATGAGAAAACTGAAGCATGCGGAGATTAAGCAGTTGTCAAAGGTCATCCTCATGTGCAAGGTCATGCCCCAGTAAGTAGTGGCAGCGCAGTCTGAACTCAGTCATTCCAGAAGATGAAGAGGCAACAGGTGCCATAGAGAGATCACAGATTAATCCAGCACTTCATGATGCTCTCAGAAAAGGAGAACATCTTAGGAATAATGACAGGAACTAATGTTTCTCAGTGGGACAGTATTGTTCCCCAATCCAGGGAGCATTTGAAATGTGCAAGGGCATGGGGGAGTTTTTCTAGTGGTCTCTGTGACTGAAGGCCATGACTGGCACATAGTACGAGGGGCCAGGGATGCTGAACATCGTGTAAGGCTCAGGACAGTCACACGTCACAGACTGTTTTCCTACACCACAGGCCCTTAGCGGTTCTTCTGAGAAGTGCCACAGCCCTTGGTGTCAGAGCCCTGTACCAACATTAGGATTTCTTCTTCCTCCACTATGAGGTTTGGGGGAACCTCTCAGGGGGGTCCATTCCCCTTTAACATTCTCAACAGCTCTTCCCTGCCTGGCTGAGAAAATAGGAGTTATCCAAAACAGCATGGGTTGTGACTAGATCACCCTGACGGCTAGCTTTACGCAAACAGGGAAAGAGCCTTCTAGGACAAAAGCTCTTGTCACAGCCCCAGTTAACCAGGCAGACGTTCAAAACTCCAAGAAGCCCACAGTTTGAGGCGGCCTTCCTAATGCGGCTCCCACCTACAATCTGCCAGACCCGCTGTCTTTCAGTGACCGCTGAGTCTTCGAGATAAGCTACATTTTTTTGAGACTCAACGTTTATTGCTTCCAGATCAACAATTTTTTGTCCTCCTTAGATTGTGGGTGACAGGGAGCCACTGGATGACTTTCTGCAGTCAAATGCTATGACCAAGACTTGCATTTTCAAGGGGGCTCCTGACAGCCACGAGGCAGGGCAGGAGGGAGTCGGGTTGGAGGGGAAGATTAGAAGCCTAAGTGCAACACCAGGCCATTCTATGGGTGCCTGCAGAACATGACAGGGCGTCAGTGAGTTAAGCAGAGGCAGTGGGAGAGTCCATGTTCACGATCGCTGCTGAGAATGGAGACACAGACAAAAGGAGAGACGGACTAGGGGCACCTGGGTGGCTCAGGCGGTTAAAGCCTCTGCCTTCGGCTCAGGTCATGATCTCAGGGTCCTGGGATCGAGTCCTGTGTCAGGCTCTCTGCTCAGCGGGGAGCCTGCTTCCTCCTCTCTCCCTCTCTCTGCCTGCCTCTCTGCCTACTTGTGATCTCTCTCTGTCAAATAAATAAGTAAAATCTTTAAAAAAAAAAAAAAAAGGAAGATGGACTAAAAGCTCTCCAGATTTCCAGCTCTTCCAACAGGACTGGAGTGGATGCCAACTTAGAGTAGAAATTAGAATTAGGCCAAAATCAAATAGGCAGGATTTGGGGACTATGGGGCTTGTGAGGGAGAGTGAAGTTCCTGGCCAAGGGGCAGAGAAGACGGTTTGAAAGAGAGGAAGAAAAGCAGGTTTAGGGAAAGGAATGAGGGTTATATTGGGGGATGGGAATGAGTCAAGCTCCAGACGTGTAATTATTTGTTTTACTGAAAAATAATACAGGAAGATGCGAGTAGAAAACATTATCAAAGGAACGGACTGAATAATTTGGATTATAGACCCAAAACAGAGATCTTTCCAACACTCAACCCAAGTGAATCAATGCCAGCACAGAGAGTAAAATAATTATGTGTATAGATCTGGCTCCTGGCAGGAACTAGCCCTACTTTAGCTAACATTTCAAGTTTTTGACTCCCACGTCGGTCTCTTTCTTGGCAAAATAAATAAATGAATAAATAAATAAAAAATTATCGTCATCAAGGCTTTTTGAAGGTTTAGCTGATTTTTATGTGAAGGATTTGTACATTTTCAACCCCTTTGCCGGGAATCAATACTGTTTTATAATTACATGCCACTCAGTTCCTTGTGTAAGGTGTACACAGTATTGATTGCAACTCAGGAGGGTCTGTAGTTCCTGAGAAAGACACTCAGAAGTGACTAATAATTAATAATGATCTCACTCAGATCAGCTGCCGCTAACGCATGGAGGCATCTGCCAGGGCTTTGGCTCCTGTGGTGAGGCTGGAAAAATAAATCACTTCCCCAACCTTCTGAGGGCACCTTGCCAATTTCCAGCTGCTGTTGTTTCAATGTCAATGTCTTTCCTGGAAAAAAGTCTTTGCTCTCTTTCCTCCTGGGCATGGAGCTGTCTCACGGGACATACCAAAACATGTCAGAGAAAGACCAAGTCCCCGACCTCAAGCAGACACCTCTACAAAGCTCTGATGACTCTTGCTAGGAGGTAAGGCCTGTGCTTGATTCCTGTTGGACCTGCAGCCCCTCCTGTGAGTCAGGGCACCTGGCGGGGACACAAGATTTTTTTGAACTGAACCAAGTTAAGAGACTTGGCGTAAAAGAAGACAACACAGTATCTTACATCTCTTTGGAAGCATTTTCTGTTTTCTCAATCCTAGGAGTTTATATCACCTTGTGCCTTAAAATCTGGTTATCTGAATGTCTTACCTACTCTACAATCTAGGTTGAAAGCTATTTGTGGGCAAGGTCTCTGTTCCACTCCACTTTTTCTCTTCCACTAAACCCCAGTAAATCCCTGATACCATTGGTATTTGTTGCATTCAGTATGGTCAACTGTGTAGAGAGAAGAGGAGAAAAGCTGGCAGAGCCTCAGACCACCCCTCCACCCTTCTATGCCTCTCTCAGACAGCCCTCCTGGCCCCCAATGTTCTTAGGCTGCACATAAACAAGGCTTGAGAGTATTTTTCTAACCAGAGATCCACCAATGACTGGCATTGGCATGGCACTGATTTGCCATCTAAAAGAAAGGTGGGAAGATAAAAGAAGGGAGTGAGTCTAAGCATTTGTAAATTTCATGTAAATTATGCATGTAGATGACAGTGGTCTTGTTGCCAAAAAGTAATGGCTTAAACCAACTACCCTAAAACTTTTGGCCGATGCCCCACCTTTACTGAACTGCCTAGAAGTATGTTTTCATCTACATCTTCACAAGTTGTCTCACTTAAAATTAGATATTCAATGGGTTCTTATAAGTTTCTTAATTTTTTTTTTTTTGCTGGTTGGGAGATGATTGATAATACCCACTCTCTAAATTTTCCATGCCTTGCTCTATTGGAGTAGGTCACTGGGGTCTTCCTCTGTCTTCTGTGGATGTTCTGAAAGAGTACTTCTGTTTAGAGAAGTCTGGGTTCTCCCCTAGGCTATTCGCCTCAGGCTAGGTCCAAGGGGAGGCTGTGTGGCTGTACTTCCAAGTATGTGAACTGGTTAGTTCATCCAAATGAAATAATCCCATTCCCTTGCTCAGGGGACCCTCAAAGGTTATACATTTATCCCAAATTGATGATGTAGAATTTTGGCTCTTCAAATTCTTGCAGGAGAATATCACCTTAACTCTTAAGTATTCAATTCTTTTGAATGTTGTAACTGATATTCCTCATGGCTGATTGTCACGCAGGCCATGGTGTTGCTCTTTCTTTCCTTTTGTTTCTTTAAATGCTCCTTTTAGATGAAATTTAACCAGCAGAAAAGTGTGAACTCCACTGGGGTGCTCTGGCTCTTGTAGAAGTGACTTTGATGAACTGTCAGGCCATAGGCTGCACTTTACAATGTTATCAGGACTGCCACATAGAGCTAAGCACTGTGTCTGTGGGAAGAACACCACCACAAACATTATTCACAGCACGACTCAACCACTGCTAGAAAAGGGCACAGGTTCTCAATTATCTCAGAATGCTTGCCTGAGTAACAAAGTTACTTGAATGTGATGGACAACACAAATCTCAAACCACTCAAGTCTGCCTCTTTTCTTAGTTGCTGGGGTGCTCAGAGTCCGACACCTTCAGGCACCTGCACCAGGCACTGTGCTGGGCAGGCATTTTGTGAACTGACCCTACCCTGGCTTTGTCTTGTTTCCTCTTCTGCTTTATAGTCCCTTCTCCTTAATTTTCTTTTTAAAATTTTTTTAGTTGCTATATTAATCTTTGTTAGCCACCTTGTGTCCTCTTTTTGGAATAAAGCAAAATCACAAGGAAGGGTGTACAAAAACAAACGAACAACAGATTTTGGCTCCACAGATTTCAAAACCTCAAAACCTTCCTTAGAAAGATCAAAATGAGATAAACAAGAAATTGTAGGCTTTTGATTTGGTTC